AGCAGGTGAAGCAGTGGCCAGCAGGGGGGGACTTAAAAAGGACGGGGGGGGGGGGGGAAGAGACAGAACACAGCTGATTTTGATAATCACACTGCAGCGAGAGCGACCAGCAGCGCAGCCCTTCCCTTGCTGGGGCAGCCATAGCATGGTTCTGCAATCGTTGATAGGGCTGGGGGCGCCAGTGGTCCCAGCCCTGGTCTGGTCGAGGGGAACGCAGTCCAGGGATAATGCTTACGGGCATTGCTGTGGGACTCGTCGCCGCAGCACGTACTTGCTGGCTTCAGGCTGGTACTTCACCCAGTCTCATGCTGCACTTGGCAAGGGCAGACTCTCCCGCCCAGCCTGCTTTACTGGCTGAAGGGAAGCCGAGAAGCTGGTTTCACAGACTGGCCTGACCTGGAGTAAACATGGGCTGATCTTAATGAAGTGAACAGCGGGGGCAGGACGAGTGTCTGGTAACTCTGTGGCTGCTGTGCTTGCCCTGAAAATGGAGTTCCATTGCTGCACCCGCCTTCCCTAGGGTCTCCGTGCCAGTATCCCCTCAGCCCGCCTAGCCTTGTGCTGGGCTTAGGGCTCAGAGGCTGCCTTCACCTGCGCTTCCCTCTGCGTTCCTTTGACTCCCTCTCCTTTCTTCCAGGGAGGCCTTTTTAAACAGCATGGAGAGCCAGCTCCTGCGCTGCAAAGTGCTGGAGCTCCTGTTCCACCACAGCTGTGACATGCCAGCCTCCCTGCCCCTGTCTCTGAGCAAGATCCTGTATTTCCTGGGCCGCCATTCGCTGCTGCTACAGTATCAGGTAGCGCCCGCCCCTTCCTGCCCTGCCCTGCTCTCTGAGACCCCTCCTGGTAATCCAACATCTGCTCTTTGCACAGGACCACGAAGTAACGTGGCAGAGATGGGATGAGATGCTTCAGCACTTGATTTTACTGTTGACAAGTTACCGCAACGTTGTGCTGGGTAAGCGGCCTCGGGCAATGGCCCAGCCTCAGTGTATCATCTGACCAAGCGGAACTAGTATCAGTCGGCCAGACCACCCCATGGCCCCCTTCCCACCAAAGCAGCTGCGATCTCACTTTTCAGTTCCAGAAAGCTGCATCTCAGACTCCACTCTGACTGTTGGGAGAGGCTGTGAGTGCAGGAGAAACCACACAGGGCTCATCTCCAAGGGAACAAGCCACCCTGAGCCACCACAGTCCAACTCCCAAGACTTAGCCGGTTCCCGAAGGGTTTGTGGCACAAGGCGTTCCTAATTATTCTGTAAAGTGCTCAACCTGCAGTGCCCTCCCTGGGCAACCCTCTGGGAGGTGTGCAAGCCAGCTGTCCAGAGCCTGGGCTGATGGGAGAAAGCCCACTGGCTCAGGTGGGGAAGGTGAAGAAGGGGAGACACTAGGTTAATCTGGAAACAATGGGGGCACTATCATTGAGCTTAGGATCTAAAATCTGATTTTTGGGAGAGTTACAAAGGCCTCTTCCCTGCTAGGAAACTGCTTGACCATGCATCCCCTCCACACTGGTCGGCTCAGCATACACCCTCCCACCCCCATGTGCCTGTAGTAACGATTAAACCTGACACCACCTGCACCTCCCCTCCCACCCCCTTGGCCCTAGCCTCCCAGATCAGAGACTTTTCCAAGCAGGTTAGGCAGCTGGCAAGCAGGAGAGTCCTTTGAAAGTGAAAGAGGGGAGGTTTAAAGCCTAGGTGGTGCTGGAACTCTCCCCTGCTTTGCAGAAAACTGGGCTGCTCTGAGTTGGGGGATGGGACATTCCAACTGAAAATCAGCCTCACATGGAAGCTCCAAGCATAACCCTGGGATGCATGCCACTTTTCCGACTAGTTCTGTGCAATCGCTCTTCACCAAGGGGCATGTACTGACTTCAACAGCTGTGGGGTCAGACACTGCTCCGTAGGCCCCTGGTACTAACAAGTTGACTTACCAGCATTTCCTTTTGCAGGGCACTTAAGAAGGTCACTCAGCGAGCGGATGGATTTAATCATTTCAAATGCCAAACCCCAGCTCCAGGATAACGACAGCATCACCCCCGTGGACATTGAGCTGCATATCAAGGACTTCAGCAGCCGGCTGCTGCAGATCCTGGGGAAGCCCCTTCCCTCACAGCTCAAGGACAAGGTGTGCATGCTTCAAGCGCTGCTGCTCACCGCCATCTCCACGTGACAGGAGAAAGATGCTCCCGAAGGAGCGGTGGAGCTGGCTTTCAGTGCCACGCAGCAGCCTGGACAAACATCAGTTGCCCACTATTCAGGTCTGGTCAGACAGTTGTGTGGACCTAGGAGTCTCATTCCCTCCTCTGAAATCTGCTTCTCCTGGTGCAACCTGTGTACAGTTTTTTTTTTATTAAATTATTTTCCTGGTTGATGAGGTTCTTTCCTCAAGCTACCAGTAGCAATCTAGCCAGAGCTCAGCTTCTGAGCCCTGCAGCAGTACCCAGAAGATAGCACCACCTGAGAAAGGGGGAGGGACTCAAAGAAGCTTGCAGCGTTCAGTTTTAGCTGCTCTCCAAGTCAGGCAAGAGCTTGGTGTGGGCAGGGTATGGTGATAGCCCAAGAATGGGAGGTGCGGCAGCCTGAACATTTCAGCAGCAGCTGTGTTTTGGTTCCTGTCCTGCACTCAGCACTGTGGTATCTGACCACGAAAGCGCTAACAGAACAAGCTGATGAATGGAGGTGCTGTCACTCTTACAGAGCCCTTCCTTTAGCAGGCTACTCCTATCCAGCTGGGCGATCACTACATCCTGGATACTGCTGCTTCACTCTATAGACCCAGGCTGGCCAAACTCACTGACCCTCCAAGCCACAAACTATAATCTTCAGAAGTTCAAGAGCCGGGCGCACCTGCCAGGGCTCAGAGCTTCTCCCCTGGGGAGCAGGGGGTGGGGCTAGGGGCTGAAGCCATGAGCCCCAGCGGGCACCTCCCATGGGGCTGTAACCCCTAGACCCCCCCCTCTGGGCAGAAACCCCTGGTTCCCCACCCCAGTCTGATAGGTGGAGAATGGGGGGGGTGGTGCACACTCCACAAGTCACACTTTAAGAGCCACATGTGGCTGGGGAGCTGCGGTTTGGTCATAGGGTTACCAGACAGCAAGTGTGAAAAATCAGGACAGGGGGGTGTGTGTGGGGTAGGGGGGGGGAAAATAGGATCCTATATAAAGAAAAACGAACCCAAAA